CAAGTGTTTTATATAATATGTGAATCAGGAAATTGTCTATAAACCAAACTGACCCATTGTTCTCTACTTAAAAAAAAAAACACTTTAGATTTTAAAATGGAAACATAACATATTTTTAATATTTTTTTTTTGAAAAGTCAGTGTATAACATGGATAAATAAACACCTGCATTTTACTTCAGTGTTAAATTCTGTTTAAAGTAACAGAATATGATAAAAAAATGCCTCCAGATTTTTACTGGTTGTTGATTTTCTTTATTCCGACTTTACTGATTTTTAATTGGTGACCTCTGCTCTATAGGAAAGAGCGCACCTAGAAGTGAAGAGAACATGATCTGTATGACGCAATTGGAAAAAAAAAAAAAACAATTTATATATATATATATATATATATATATATATATATATAAATATATATATATATATATATATATAGTTTAAATAATACAATAAAAGATAAAATCTTTAAAAAAAATTGAAAATATAACATGTGAAAATATTAATATTTAGAAATAATTTTTACGAAATAAAAGTTTCAAAATACAAAAATTTAAAAAAAAAAGAGGAAATTAGGAAATTTGAGTTCATTTGAGTTTTTCCTCAGATACTTTTTTTCAGTTTTATTTCTAGCAACCATTTTTTTTTCATTTCAGCTTACTAAATGTGTTCCTTGCTTGCAAAAAATAATGGAACCAAATTCACTCCATAGCTCTATTGAAAGCCTGTTTAATGACATCAATGAGAAGTAACAGTCTATAACCAGCCATGCAAGGGAAACAGGAAGTAGGGAAAACGTTGGAGGTGATCTGGTCAGATGAGACCAAAATGAAACTGTGAGGTCGACAAGCGAACAGTTGGATGTGGTGGAAACACCCTGAACAAACCTTTCTCATAGTAAAACACGGTGACAGTATGACGGTAAACGGTATCGGAGGAAATAAACTTGTTAGCAATAGCAAAACTGAAAGGAGGGCAGAAGTTGACCTTCCTGCAGGAAAACAATTAAACAGAACTTCAGCAGAGAGGTTCAGATCTTCAGATTGCCCAGAGCCAACAGGTAAATACATTTTATAGACACTCTCCATCCAACCTGTCTAAGCTTGAAATACTTTACTTAGAAAAAAAAGGACCAAACTTTGTCGCTCTTAATGCAAAAGGATGCAGGAAAAGCTCCCAAACAGACCAGCAGCTGCAATTACAGTAAAAAGGTGATTTTACTGAGTTGTTGACTGAAGATGCTGAAAGCAAATATATAGAGCTCCCACTGCAGAACTTTATTTGTAAAAAAATAAACAAACAAACAGAAAGCAGCCATTTTCTGCAGAACATAGAGCACAGCATTGAGATGAAGCTAATATTTGACACACAGGACTGTAACGCCTTCTACAAAAGCAAACTCCAGCACTTTTGATGCTTTTGTGGATCTCAAAGAACCATTTATTCATTAACTGACTGAACCTTAACTGAAATCTAACAGGATAAAGATAACGGACAAAGAAAGGAATCTTTTTTGGGATCATTTGGATATGTAAACACAGCAGCCTGAAGTGAACCATATCAGATTTTTTTGCCAATATGCGACCTGGATCTTAGATTTTTTTTCAATGCAACCCCGACCACTTGGCTCTGTGTATACTGAATCCAAAACGTATCGGATCTTTTCAAATGCGACCCGGTTGAATTAATCCAACATGGCTGTGCAGACA